TAGTAAAGAAAATGGTTCTATATAGAACCACAAACACTCAGATAACCCTTTGCATGATTAAATGGTTCTCTGCGTGGTGAAACGGTTCTTCAGATTGATGGAGAATGTGTTATATGTGGTTCTGTTTAGCACCAAAAAGGGTTTTTGTATTGTTATAAGTTTGACAGTGTAACACAGAACCCTTAATGGTGCTATATAGAACCCTTTTCAGAAAGCTTCTCTTAAAAAATGGTTCTTCAAGGGTTCCTTAGCAAAGAAAATGCTTCTATATTGAACCCTGTTCAGAAAGCTCCTACACTCTTAAAATGTGTTTTCAAGGGTTCTGTAGTACAGAAAGTGGTTCTGTATAGAACTGTAAACACTCAAAGAGCCCTGGGCATGATTATATGGTTCTTTGCATCATAAGTGGTTCTTCAGATAGATGGATAGAACATATTCTCCATCAATCCTAAGAACCATTCAAGCTCTTTGAGAACCGTGAGCTCCATATACAACCACTTCTTGCTTAAATGGTTCTTGGCATGGTGAAATGGTTCTTTAGATTGATTGAGAATGTGTTGCATATTTATGTTTATCACCAGAGTTTTTGTATTGTTAGTTTGACATTGAAACACAGAACCCTTTTTGGTGCTTTCTAGAACCCTTTTCAGTAACCTTCACTCTTAAAAATGGTTCTTCTAAGATTCTTTAGCAAAATGTTTCTATATAGAACCTCAAGGAAACTTTTGCAAGATTACAGGGTTCTTTGCATCATTAATGTGTGTTCAGACTGTTGGAAAATGTGCTACAGATGGTTTCTTTATAGAACCTTTTTGAAAAGGGTTCTATATAGCACCCAAAAGGTTGACAAGCTTGACATCGTAACAATAGAAGAACCCCTTCAAAAAGGTTCTGTATAGATGCATCTGCAGCACATTCTCCATCAACCTGAAGAACCATTTCACCATTTGAGAACCACGAGTTCTATATACAACCATTTCATGCTTAAATGGTTCTCTGCATGCTGAAACGGTTCTTCAGATTGATGGAGAATGTGTTGTTTATGGTTCTGTTTAGCACCAAAAAGGGTTTTTGTATTAAGTTTGACTGTGTAACACAGAACCCTTAATGGTGCTATATAGAACCCTTTTCAGAAAGCTTCTCCTAAAAATTGGTTCTTCAAGGGTTCCTTAGGAAAGAAAATGCTTCTATATAGAACCATGAGCACTCATAGAACCTTTTGCAAGATTACAGGGATCTTTGCATGATAAACGTGTTCTTCAGACTGATGGAAATGCTACATATGGTTCTTTATAGAAGCTTTTTGAAAAGGGTTCTATGTAGCCCCCCAAGGTGTTCAAGGCTATTGTTAGAAGACATCGTGACAATAGAAGAACCCCTTTAAAAGGGTTCTGTATAGAAGCATCTACAGCACATTTTTCATCAATCTGAAGAACCATTTCACCATGCAAAGAACCCTGTAATGTTACAAATGGTTCTTTGAGTGTTTATGGTTCTGTATAGAACCACTTTCTTTACTAAAGAACCCTTGAAGAACCATCTTTTTAAGTGTGTATGGAATGAATGCCCAAGTACTCTGTCAGAAGGTCTTCAACAGCTCACAAATCTTTAAAAAAGAGTATTTTTGATAAATCTCAGTGTCTCAGACAGTGATGGAGTCGAGCTGGTAGCCGGGTCTAACTGGCAGGACGCTAATTATGGGCTGGTTGCTTTCATTCAAACAGGAGCATGTTTGACTTTATTGCTCTTTCAAACAAAATTCCACCAATTTTTCAAAATTCCTGCATAATTCAATAGTTAAGATGTAATCAGAGTGGTTTGGTGTGAAACGCTCCGTTCTAGATAAACTGTCAGAACTGTTCACAGTGGTGGTGATAGGAACCAGGGGCATATTACAGAAACCTCTTTAGTCTGAAATCTGTTTAGTCTCCATGACGACTGAATTTCTGACAGTATCTGTTCCAGAATAACAGCTCCTAACTTCATAATCTCATCATGAACTCCAGATCAGAAAACAGCATCACACAAACATCCTAACTGGACTAAACCTCCTAAATCCTGTCCTAACTTTAGGATGAACCCCAACAGGGTCCTCACTTCTGTTTAAGGTCCGTTTCTATGGTGTTTTAGGCAGCTGAGTCAGCAGCATAGTTCACTACCAGCATAATGAGCTCCATTTATTTCTACTGTAAAACGCTGCTTTCACTGTGAGATGATTTTCTTTTCTAACTCTGCGTTTTAAAGATCTCAGACGCTGCAGACTCGATCTCCACCGCCCCTCTGATCACCTTCGTGTGTTAATGTTGATGATGAAATATTACAGTGGTGGTGGTGAATAATGAGGAGACGGAGCTGAACGTGGGTCTGTTTATTAGGAGGAGTAACGTTAGCGCGCTCGGCTAAAGCGTTTGGGAAATGGAGACTGAAACTGGGGAGCGGCGACGCTCTGATAAACAGCAGGGGGCGCTCTCACAGCATTCACAGCTTACAGTTTATCACACTTTAGTTTTACCTTTTTAGTAGCTACATCAGTAATGTTAGCTGTCTGGCTGACTAACTTGATTACGTGTTTACGTTTCAGCTGTGTGTGTATGGTCAGTTGCTAGAAAACAGACATGACAGTTAACTGTCGACTTGGAGTAGGTTAAGATTTCCTAACTGGAGAAAAGATGCTGTAAGGTAAGATTCCTTAATCAAGATCAGTTTTGCTTCTGTAATACGAATTTGTGAAAAATCTTATTTTGACCTGTCAAATCTTAAGACAAAAAGATAGGAAGTTTCTGTAATATGACCCCAGACGTCCACCTCTAAAAGCTCCCTCACAGAAAGTTACTGCATTAAACGGTTATTGATTCACTGTCTGATGACTGAGACACTGTTTTATGATAGTTCTGAGAAGATTGTAGCCCATACTGATTAATCTATCAGTGATGGAGAGGGTCACACCAGCATTACAAAGCTGTATATGCTGTCAGGAGCTGTTATGACTAATGTTGTTTGTTGTCATTTTATCATTGTTGGTAATTATCATCACAGCTTCTGTCACAGGATTATTTTGCAAGGTTTACTCCGGTTTAGCCATCATGACATCAAACAGCATGATCATCTGTCATGAAAAGTAATGGAAATAGTACAATTATTAAGCAGTAGAACCCGAGACGGAGTGTGTTATCACGAAATAACATCACGGCTTTGATTTGGTCGCCGTAGATCATCACAGCCGTGATGTTATTGGCGATAACACACTCCTCGAGTGTTCTACTGCTTTAATACAGCAGTTAAATAAATAAAGTAATAAATTAATAAACTGGGCCGTGAACGCGGCGTTTAATATGTTTTAATGATCGCAGTTCCTTCACCAAATTATAGTTCCTTAACGAGCAGCTTGTTGCTACGTCAGAGTAACGAGCTCCGCCCACTCGCTGCAGTCTGCCTCGCCTTCTGAAGTACAGACTGAGCCATAAAACTGCCGCAATATCAGGTTCAGCTCAGTTTTGTCAGTTTTCTGCCAGATCAGTATTAATGTTGTTTTGTTCCAGCCAGTCTGTAAAGCATCTTACAGCCCATTTAGTTTGGCGAATGGTGTTGGGTTCATTTCTGGCTGATTCCAGGTTGTTCAGCTGTTCTTCTGTCACAGCTGCCGACTGAAAAGCTGCTCAGTGGTGACGACAGTTTGGGAATTTAGTGTCGTCTCATCTTCAGAGTCTGACCAAATCGGCTGTCGGTCAAACGTGATCTTAAAAGTGTCCGTTTTCTGTTTGTGGCAAAGTAAGAAGTAAAAACGTTCAAATGTCTTGAGCGTCTCCTACAGCTGTCAAAGACGTTGCTTAGCAACAGCGTCTCAGCGGAGTGATACAGTGTTTGTGAAAAACCTGTGATGTTATGGTGAAATAACAGCACAGTTAGAACGCTTCTCAACCAATCAGCTCGCGTGGCCGGAACTAACTGTTGTATAAATAATAATAATTAATAATAATTGATAGTTAACATGACTTGTATTACTGGGCATAATCTGTTATGACACGTTTATGGCACAGTTATGTCACTGTTATGCAGCAGAGTTCGAGTAACGTGTTACCAAGTTTTTAATATTTTGCAACATAATATTTTGTTTTTACATACAGTCTTAAAAAAGGCAGTAGTTCTATTTAGAACCTCAAGTGACTCTTTGCATGAAGAAAATGGTTCTTCAGATTGATGGAATGTGTTGTATATGGTTTAAAAAGATGGTTCTTTAAAGGTTGTTTAGTAAAGAAAATGGTTCTATATAAACCATGAACACTCAGAGAACCCTTTGCATGATTAAATGGTTCTCTGCACTGCAAAAGCCTTCTTCAGATTGACGGAGAATGCTGTAGATGTTTCTACGCAGAACCTTTTTAAAAAGGGGTTCTTCCATCGATACGATGTCAAGCTTGTAGCAGTAGAAGAACCTTTTTCAAAAAGTTCTATATAGAACCATATGTAGCACATTTATGCTCATTTTCCATCAATCTGAAGAACCATTTCATGATGCAAAAAACCCTGTAATCTTGCAAAAGGTTCTTTGAGTGTTCATGGTTCTATAATAGAACCATTTGCTTTGCTAAAGAACCCCTGAAGAACCATCTTTTTTAAGAGTATAGAGGTTTTCTGAAAAGGGTTCTGTTGTTACAATCTCAAGTTTGTAACAATACAAAAACCCTTTTTGGTGCTAAATAGAACCACATACAAGTTCTCCTTCAATCTGAAGAACCATTTCACCAGGCAAGGAACCATTTAAGCACAAAATGGTTGTATATAGACCTCATAGTTCTAAATAGAACCATTCCCTTCACTAAAGAACCCTCGAAGAACCATCATATTTAGTATTTTGTCCATATCATGAAGCACTAGTGGTACAACACTGTTCTAGTCTGTGTGTAAATGCTGTAAATGACGAGTCAGAATGTCTTCGTAGAGGTTCTGTATGTTCTGTTTAGGGTCCAGAGTTCTGCACTCAGACTGCACAAACCAAGAGACTCATCGGGACAGAACATTTATTCTAGTGAGAACGTTCTCTCTCTTTCACACATTAACACAGACACACATTTACAGTTGGTAGTAAAAAAAAAACATCAAGAACATCAAATTTCCGTTGTTAAAAATTAAATTAAGTCACAGGCAAAAGACCCCCCACAGAAAACGGGGGTCCGCCCTCAAATGTCCGTATGGCTCCTCAGTATCTCCTCTGCCTGGGGCTGAAGACGGTGCTGGGGTCGCTGTCTCTCTCTCTCTCCTTCTCTCTCTCTCTCTGGCTGGTGGGCGATAAGCGCTCCGGCGGGGCCGGCCTGGCGGGCGGCTTGTCGCTCTTGAAGAGGTCGCGACCCGTCCGCAGGATCTGCTCCTCGATCTTCCGGTGCCGCTTCATGTCGGAGAGAACCTTGTCCAGCCGCGCCTCGCGCTTCACTGTAGAGCGGGCGGATGAGCCTAAGGAGGGAGGGAGGGAGGGAGGGAGAGGGAGAGGGAAAGGGAGAGGGAAAGGGAGAGGGAAAGGGAAAGGGAAAGAGAGAGAGAGAGAGAGAGAGAGAGAGAGAGAGAGAAGGAGGGAGAGAGAAAGAGAAAAAGAAAGAAAAAGGGACAGAGAGAAAGAGAAACAGAAAAAAGAGAGAGAAGAGAAACAGAAAAAGGAGAGAGAGAGAAAGAGAAACAGAAAAAAGGAGAGAGAAAGAGAAAAAAAAAGAAAAAGAAAAACAGAGAAAGAGAGGGAGAAAAAAAGGGAGAGAGAGAGATACAAGACCACAACATTAAAGTGAGAGTTTGTTAAAAAACCTGACGTACAGTTTCCCCCCATTTACTCTATGTCTGATGTTTGATGTCTGAAATCTGCTCCTGTAGTTTAGCACCTGAGCTAAAAGGCTAACGTAGCTAACAAGTAGAGGCAGCTTTTACCCATTAACCAATTAGCCTGACGCTAACTGCAGACCTGAATCATCACACTCGCTTCTAACTGACACCGTATGACTCAGTAGCCACGTTTACATGCAGCCTAATAATACATTAATAATCCAACTAACACCTCAGTCTGAATAGTCTAGTCCGATTGAGGCCATTCAGAATACAGTTTCTATCCGACTGATCGAGGTGGGTAATCCTGTAAATAATCCGTTAAATAGAAGAATAATATCCGTGTAAACGCCTGTATCTGATTACATTCCCTATCGGAAAGTTTAAGTCTGTTCTGATCATGTTCGTCGCGTCATAGTGAAAGTTTATACCGTTCAACATGGCGGAGCAGAAACTGGTCTGCAGAGGAGACGAAGTTTATGCTCTGATCTTTAAAAGACGGCGGTGGGACGGACGTCCAGCTTATGTGTCTCAGAACACGACGTCTTCCTCTCGGCCTTCTTTAATAAGGACGTGTGAAGGACGTTTTCCTGAGTCTGACATCATTTTAAAGTAATTAAAAACACAAGCGCTGCTCACTGCTGCTCATCTCACTCTGACTGGACTCACGTGATGCTGGTTGTCATGGTAACGTCTACACTAAGTGGTTCTCTACGCATGCGCATCATTTTGGATCTGATTACTTGTAGTGAGAATGTAAACGGAGATTTTCATCAGACTGTTGAGTTGAGTGAGAATAAACAGCTCAGTCGGAATCTATAATTGGAATGTACTCAATCAGATTGGCCGAAAACTTTGCATGTAAACACAGACAGTATTATCTATAAACATGGATTATAGTATGTTACTATAGCTAAACACAGTAGCAGCCGCCAGCTTGATGGCTAATTTTATTCATGCTTTAGTCTCTTTATATGCTGCAATTCAATTTCCGCACCAGCGTTTCATGAAGCACGATCATCGTTTCTGGGTTTCCCCAACTAAAAACATACGAAACATAAAAGATTTCTACATTGTTTTCTTATTTTTTGTCACTTTTTTGTTGAGGACACCCTCTCAGTTACAAATTCTGACCATTATGTATGGTTTATGTTATTTGTTGTTTATTTACTTCACTTGTTGTTACGTGTGAGAACGTATTGTTTTTTTTTGTTTGTTTTTCTCTCTCTCTCTCTCTCTCTCCCTCTCTCCTGAGAAAGTGATCCACCACTGTGAGACAGCAAATCCAACGTCAGAACAAACTGGATAAGCTGCTTCATGCAACACAACAGCTGGTCCAAGAAAACAAACACTCACGAGTGTTTTTAACGTCTCAAAGCTGCCGTACCTGGCGTCCTGCGTCGGCTGAGGAAGGCGTTCTTTGGAGTCGCCATGGTTTGCTCTTCATCAAAGTCGAACTCGGTCGGTGTTGGAGCCCTACGAACGAAACAGAGCGCAGAGAGGAACCTGTCAGTGTCTGAGTCCTCAAATCAGCTCATCTGAGTGACTGAGACCTTATAGTCTAACAGCTGAACCCAAATCAACAAAACCAGATACACTTACAAGCCAGTGAGCAGATGCTAAAGCTTCTACTGGCTTTGACTACAAGTATGTTTTGAGTTGTGTTTTCTGTGAAAGATAGATAGATAGACAGACAGACAGACAGACAGATAGACATACAGATAGGTAGATAGCCAGATAGATAGACAGACAGACAGATAGATAGACAGACAGATGGAAAGTTAGATAGACAAACAGACAGATAGACAGACATAAATAGTTAGACAGACAGATAGGTAGACAGATAGATAGACAGACAGATAGATATACAGATAGATAGAAAGATAGACAGACAGATAGATATACAGATAGTTAGACAGACACAGATAGACATACAGATAGGTAGATAGACAGACAGACAGATAGATAGACAGACAGATGGAAAGTTAGGTAGACAAACAGATAGATAGATAGACAGACATAAATAGTTAGACAGATAGGTAGACAGATAGATAGACAGACAGACAGATAGATAGAAAGATAGACAGACAGACAGATATGCAGATAGTTAGACAGGCAGACAGACAGATAGACAGACAGACATAAATAGTTAGACAGACAGATAGGTAGACAGATAGATAGACAGACAGATAGATATACAGATAGTTAGACAGACACAGATAGACATACAGATAGGTAGATAGATAGACAGACAGACAGATGGAAAGTTAGGTAGACAAACAGATAGATAGATAGACAGACATAAATAGACAGATAGGTAGACAGATAGATAGACAGACAGTTAGACAGACAGATAGATATGCAGATAGTTAAACAGGCAGACAGACAGATAGACAGATAGATAGATAGACAGATAGATAGATAGATCACTTTATTAATCCCAGAGGAAAATTCTTCTATTGCAGCAGAACAAATTACAGTAAAGAGCAAAATGAACAGGAGCAAAGTATCACTGTACACTATTTACAGATAGATAAAAAGAAAGTAGAGATAAATAATAGAATAAAATAAACTAAACAATATACAATAAGAGTAACGTCTGGATGCATAAACAAAGTGACAGGGCAATGTGCAATATTAGTGGACAAATAATCAAAATAAACAAAGTGGCAGTGCAGTATTAGATATGGGCATTTAGGGAAATTACTGTCCTTAGAAACTGACTGTGGAAAACAGAGCCAGACTAGGCTGAAAAACAGTGCAGTGTCCCTTTACGTAAGCAGATTAGGTAAACAGTAAGAGATGTAGGTCACTCACTTGCGCTGGTTCTCCTCCTGTTTGGCCTCCTGGGAGTCCTCTCCGTCTCTCTCTGGTGAAGGGGTGCGTGGAGGAGTGGGTGGTCTTCGAGGGAGAGGAACCCACTTCAGCTCCAGGATTTCTCCTTTAGCCAGCAGCTCGTACAGCCGCTTGATCTCCTCGGGCGGAGGCATCCAGTTCTTAGGGTCCTCCATCTCCTCGTCGCTGTAAGGGATCTCCCAGTCCTCCTCCTCCTGCTGCGCCTGCACGCCTCCGTTCATCTCTTCATCCTCCTTCTCTCCCTCCTTCTTCTCTTCATTTTCTTTCTGCTCACCTTCTGAGAAGTAGAATTGGCATGTGTAAACATGAAATTAACTATATCATTTGAGAGCAGGAGTGATACGATACTGTTAGCAGTTGTTACCGATACAGTATTTGTGGGACGATATTTTTCACAAACATATCTGCAGATACCTAATTATTTATGCATCTGGTTGATTTTACAAGAAAAAAAATTGAGTAGATTCATACAGTTAAATGAAATTTCAGATATTTTAGCACAGTAACCCAGAGTCAGTACGATGCAAAAAATCAGACGTACAATAAAGGTAATCCTCATTCACAATGTTGCCAAGGCAGTTAAACAAGTGTTAAAATATTGTAGATTAAATTCAATCCATTTAAACAAATACTTAAAAGACTAAAAAAAACAAAGACATTTTTAATGAATAAATAAATAAAAAAATTTAATGAAAGCAAACAAAAAAAACAACTACAAAAAAAACAAACATTTAATAACTCAGTTGCAGGGCGAGTGGACCCTTTTAAAAATATTCTGTATAGAACCATCTACAACACATTCTCCATCAATCTGAAGCACCATTTCGCCATGCGATAGTTCTATGAGTATTCATGGTTCTACATAGAACCACTGTCTTTACTAAAACCCTTGAAGAACCATCTTGTTTAAGATTGTAGTTGAGGCATCATTTTTACCTAAACCTTCTCCATCGTCACTGAAACAGAGGGTGTGAAATGTGCCAAAAATATGGCGTAGCTCATTATCATAGCTCACTTCCATACCTTTTTCATCATCGCCCATGGTCTCCGCAGCATTCTCAGCTGCTCCTTCACCTCCTCCTTTGTCCTTCTCTCCCTCCTCTCCCTTTGCTTTGTCCTCCTCCCTCACGGCCATCAGCTCTACTCTGTCAGAGAGGGAGGACTCGGTTTCCTCCACCGCCTGCATCAGGACAGCTGTGTGAGAGAGAGAGAGACAGAGACAGAGAGAGAGAGACAGAGACAGAGAGAGAGAGACAGAGAGAGAGAGAGACACCAAGTTTAATTTGAATCAACTGCTGTTATCACACAGACTTACGTAAGCATTTTCACTTTGACCCTAAATAGTAAGAGATGTAGCAGTCATGAACATATTAAAAGGGGAACTCCACCGTTTTTTCAAAGTTTCTGCATAATTCAGTGTGTGAGATGTAATCAGAGAGATTCAGAGAGGTTTGGTGTGAAATGGTTCTGATGTCTTTACAGTGGTGGTGATAGGAACCAGGGGTCGCCATGACTACAACATAAATATATTAGAGGGGGGGGGGTCCTCCTTGCATCATTCCACCATGAATTGATTCAAATAAAGGCAGTGAATTCATATCCATTTCCTGTAGTAACTTTCTGTGAGGGAGCTTTTAGAGGGGGACGTCTGGTTCCTATCACCACCACTGTGAACAATTCTGACTCTGCAAGTTTATCTAGAACGGAGCGTTTCACACCAAACCACTCTGAATGAAAAATCAGTGGTGCTCCCCTTTAAGAGAACTACTAAGCTACTGAATGAATAATAATACCTTAATACCATCAAAAGCCACACTTTACAGTAGTAAATCTCTTTTTCTCTAAACTGGGGGACCCTATGGTGGAGCTTCACTCTCTTTGGGGGTCTCATTAGAGTAGCTGTGTTCAAACATTAACCTAACTTACTGAATCATAAAATAAGTTTCAGTGCACAGCATAGACCTAAACCTGGATTTTTAAACAAAATCTAGAGGAATATTCACCAGCTTTTTATTCGAATTCTCCGTTCCACCTTAAATGAATGTAACTGCTGCTGCACCATTTAAGGTGGAACGGAAAATTCGAATTAGAAGAACTCCAGCCTCGTATGTTAACATAGACGATACGTTTAATATATAAGAGCATAACTAACTTAGCATAAGTTGCTCTATTTAATATTTAATGTGGGAAATCTACGTTTGGACCGCGTTAACTGAACGTTAATGAGCAGTTCGCTTACAGGCCCAGCGAATGTTTCAATAAAAGTCCACAATAAAAGAAGGTATTTACATTACCGAGCTTACATGAAGAACTTCTTAACTGTTAAACCACGTCTGTTTTCTGTAATACGCGGAATTAATGTCTATAAGGCTTTATAATCAGTTTAACTCGGCGCTAAAACAGGTCAACATCGCTGATGTTAATGTTTATCTCACTACTAACGTTAGACTCCCGCCGCTCACTGTCGCTGGAGTCAGCTCATTCAGACACAGCGCCACTCAGTGACCGGAGGACCCACTTACACTCAGTTTGGGGACCCTTTGAAGGGGAATTCCACCGATTTCTCAAAATTCTCTACATAATTAAACGGTTAAGATGTAAACAGAGTCGTTCAGAGTGGTTTGGTATGAAACACTTCGTTCTAGATAAACTTACAGAGTCAGAACTGTTCACAGTGGTGCTGATAGGAACCAGACGTCCACCTCTAAAAGCTCCCTCACAGAAAGTTACTACAGGAAATGGATATGAATTCACTGCCTGAGCCCCGATATGTTTTGTGAGTTTTAAACAGTGTTGGACAGTAACGAAGTAAATGTAATTCGTTTCTGTACTTAAGTAGTTTTTTCATGTATCTGTACTTTACTGAATTTTTCCATTTTGGGTGACTTTTTACTTTCACAACATTTCAAAGTCAGATATCTCACTTTTTACTCCACTACATTATGAGAAATCTGTCGTTCCTTTTGGTTTATGTGTGTATAAAAACGTGACATGTCAAATCAAAAGAAGCGCGAAGCAAAAACACCAATCAGGGCACAGCGGTCACTTTGTTTTGAGCTTGTTTTGACCTGTTGGACATACCGACCCAGTGCAGCACACGGTTCAACAACGGCGTTTTAGAGCCACATAAAAATAAAAATAGTAGACTTCAAGAATAAAGTCGTAATATTTCGAGAAAAAAGCCGAACTATTTGGAGGATAAAGTGGGCTAACTGTAAGGGGGCTATAACGCGTTGGGGTCTCCGTTGCTGTACTGTAAGGGGGCTATAACGCGTTGTGGTCTCGGTTGCTGTACTGTAAGGGGGCTATAACGCGTTGGGGTCTCCGTTGCTGTACTGTAAGGGGGCTATAACGCGTTGTGGTCTCGGTTGCTGTACTGTAAGGGGGCTATAACGCGTTGGGGTCTCCGTTGCTGTACTGTAAGGGGGCTATAACGCGTTGTGGTCTCGGTTGCTGTACTGTAAGGGGGCTATAACGCGTTGGGGTCTCGGTTGCTGTACTGTAAGGGGGCTATAACGCGTTGGGGTCTCGGTTGCTGTACTGTAGGGGGGCTGCCATAACGCGTTGGGGTCTCGGTTGCTGTACTGTAAGGGGGCTATAACGCGTTGGGGTCTCGGTTGCTGTACTGTAAGGGGGCTATAACGCGTTGGGGTCTCGGTTGCTGTACTGTAGGGGGGGCTGCCATAACGCGTTGGGGTCTCGGTTGCTGTACTGTAAGGGGGCTGCCATAACGCGTTGGGGTCTCGGTTGCTGTACTGTAGGGGGGCTGCCATAACGCGTTGGGGTCTCGGTTGCTGTACTGTAGGGGGGCTGCCATAACGCGTTGGGGTCTCGGTTGCTGTACTGTAAGGGGGCTGCCATAGCGCGTTGGGGTCCCGGTTGCTGTACTGTAGGGGGGCTGCCATAACGCGTTGGGGTCTCGGTTGCTGTACTGTAAGGGGGCTGCCATAACGCGCTGGGGTCCCGGTTGCTGTACTGTAGGGGGGCTGCCATAACGCGTTGGGGTCCCGGTTGCTGTACTGTAGGGGGGCTGCCATAACGCGTTGGGGTCCCGGTTGCTGTACTGTAGGGGGGCTGCCATAACGCGTTGGGGTCTCGGTTGCTGTACTGTAAGGGGGCTGCCATAACGCGTTGGGGTCCCGGTTGCTGTCCTGGCGCCGGAGCTCCACTCACTCCTGTCTCTCTGTGGATCATTCTGATCATCATTCTCACTGTCTGTGAAACTTCATGCCCTCTTTGAATGGGGGGAGATGGAGCCCCCGATAGCCGTGTAGAGACCCTGCCTGAGATTCTCCTTCAACAACACAGACAGTTTCCTCCGAGTCCGTCTGGCTCTTTATTCTAGATAAACACAGTTTCCTGCTCAGCCGTTTCAGCCGGTTCTTATACTAATAACAGGCTGGTGCTGCTGTGCAGGAGAGACAGGGAGACTGAGTGTTTCTTTATGGGTGAATCGATATGAAAGTAGAACTCCACCAACTCACCGCCCCTCATTTAACACCAGGAGGCGCTGCCTTCCCTTCGCAAAGCCTTTGGCCCAGTGGTGGACAGTAACGCAGTAAATGTAATTCGTTTCCTCCGAGTCCTAGTTTATGTTTATGAACAGAGACCTACAGATGCAGTTTAGTAAAGGAAACTCATTTGTGAATCTGAGTTTAAAGTTTTTATTAATCTTAAACTTGTAACTAAGTTCAAATAAATCTTAAACTGAAACTTTGCTGGTTTGTAAAAAGTGATTTCAGAGCCACTCAGTTCTACCTGATGGAAACTGTTTGCCTTCAGTGTTTTGTGCTGATGATAATTTTAATAGACATCAGCGTCACTAATTAATGACTCTATTAAAAGACTGGTTTACCAAGAGAGACACTGGAGTATTTTCACCTAAAATGAGTTAATGAAGCGAGTCTTCTTACAGTAATGATAACAGGACATTAGAGCCATAATTAATCTTTTAGTACTTTTACTTTTGATACTTAAGTACATTTGAAGATGAATACTTTTGTACTTTTACTCAAGTGGAGGTCTAAAGGGAGGAGCTTCTACTTTTACTGGAGTGGTCTGTTTACACAAAGTTAGGTTAGTTCATCATTTATGTTGAATAGACTCTCCCAAAATTTTACGCTGCTGCACTGATGTTGAACCGTGTGCTGCACTGGGTCGGTATGACCAACAGGTCAAAACAAGCTCAAAACAAAGTGACCGCTGTGCCCTGATTGGTGTTCTTGTTTTCCACTCGTACCAGCGCAACACACACTAACACACCACCACCACGTCAGTGTAACTGCAGTGCTGAGAATGATCCACCACCCAAATAGTACCTGCTCTGTGAGGGTCCATGGGGGTCCTGACCACTGAAGAACAGGGTAAAAGGGGGCTAACAAAGTATGCAGAGAAACAGATGGACTACAGTCTGTAACTGTAGAACTACAAAGTGCACCTATATAGTAAGTGGAGCTGATAAAATGGACAATGAGCGTAGAAACAAGGAGGTGGTTGACTGTTGGTCCAAAAGTGCACATGTGTACATATTTCTATATTGTGGTCTATTTACACAAGTAAGTTAGGTTAGTTCATCATTTATGTTGAATAGACTCTTCCAAAATTTTACGCTGCTGCACTGACGTTGAACCGTGTGCTGCACTGGGTCAGTATGACCAACAGGTCAAAACAAGCTTAAAACAAAGTGACCGCTGTGCCCTGATTGGTGTTCTTACTTCGCGCTTCTTTTGATTTGACATGTTATGTTTTTATACACACATAAACCAAAAGGAACGACAGATTTCTCATAATGTAGTGGAGTAAAAAGTGAGATATTTGACTTTGAAATGTTGTGGAGTGAAAGTAAAAAGTCGCCCAAAATGGAAAAACGTCAGTAAAGTACAGATACACAAAAAACTACTTAAGTACAGCAACGATTTACATTTACTTCGTTACTGTCCAGCACTGCTATCTATCTGTCTATCTGTCTGTTTGTCTGTCTGTCTGAACGACTTTGTTTACATCTCAGCAGAAAACTAAATCAGTGGAATTCCCCTTTCCGTCCCAGAGACTTTTATTTTGACAGGCGTGTCCTCCGTTCCTCCATACCTCTCTGACGGGCTGACAGCGGTTGTGTTGGAGATGAGCTTTGAGTGGCCCTGGCAGTACAATTTCCCCCCCTTTTTCACGTAAGTACAGGTGATTCTGCGACGCCGTGAAGGCATAAAGAAGGAAAACAACACGGGAAACATCTCGAGTTATTTAAAGCGATGTTTTTGGTCTCGGAGCTGAGGATTTTGTAGCTTATCGCCGTGTAGCGGCAGCGCTAAGGAAGTGTTCAGCGCCAACAGCGAACAGCCTCAGAAAACCAGTTTAGTGAGAGAAAGTTAGGAAAACATCATTATTAACAAGTTTTCTGTATAAATGTTGAGTTTTCATTTCATTTTGAGAGCTAGATAATCGCAAAACTGCACAGAGCTGGTAACGTCAGCTAGATACAAACACTGCTATATAGCTCCACCGGTCAGGCATAACATTCTGACCACCTCCTTGTTTCTACGCTCATTGTCCATTTTATCAGCTCCACTTACTATATAGGTGCACTTTGTAGTTCTACAGTTACAGACTGTAGTCCATCTGTTTCTCTGCTTACTTTGTTAGCCCCCTTTTACCCTGTTCTTCAGTGGTCAGGACCCCCATGGACCCTCACAGAGCAGGTACTATTTGGGTGGTGGGTCATTCTCAGCACTGCAGTAACACTGGCGTGGTGGTGGTGTGTTAGTGTGTGTTGTGCTGGTCTGAGTGGATCAGACACAGCAGTGCTGCTGGAGTTTTTAAACACCTCAGTGTCACTGCTGGACTGAGAATAGTCCACCAACCAAAAATATCCAGCCAGCAGCGTCCTGTGGGCAGCGTCCTGTGACCACTGATGAAGGACTAGAGGATGACCAACACAAACTGTGCAGCAGCAGATGAGCTATCGTCTCTGACTTTACATCTACAAGGTGGACTGACAAGGTAGGAGTGTCTAATAGAGTGGACAGTGAGTGGACACAGTGTTTAAAAACTCCAGCAGCACTGCTGTGTCTGATCCACTCGTGCCAACACAACACACACTAACACACCACCACCACGTAAGTGTCACTGCAGTGCTGAGAATGATCCACCACCCAAATAGTACCTGCTCTGTGAGGGTCCATGGGGGTCCTGACCACTGAAGAACAGGGTAGCAAAGTATGCAGAGAAACAGATGGACTACAGTCTGTAACTGTAGAACTACAAAGTGCTCCTATATGGTCAGTGGAGCTAATAAAGTGGACAGTGAGTGTAGAAACAAGAGGCTGGATTTAATGTTATGGCTGATTAGTGTATATGTATGTTCTTATGGATGGATGGATGGATTATATAATCTAAGTAGAAAAACATTCATCAATAGAATGGGAAGCTCTGGAGCAGCTGCACATGAGCCTCAGGTCACCATGTCCAATGCCAAGCGTGGGCTAAAGGGGTCTAAAGCCCCCCAGCACTGGGCTGTGGAGCAGTGGAACTGTGTTCTCTGGAGTGATGGAGCTCCATCCAATACCTTTGGGATGAGTTGGAGTGATTCAGAACTGACCATCCAACATCTGTACCTGACCTCACTAATGCTCAATCAAATCTTTACAGCAATGTTCAACATCTAGAGTAAAGCCTTCCCAGAAGAGTAGAGGCTGTTACTGCAGCACAGACTCACTATTAACACCTTCATTTCAGAAGAAATGTGAACTTTTGGACATGTATAATTAACCTCTCTGTGCATTTTGAGGACAGTCTGCCGGCTGCAGAGCTGTCAAAGTGAAGTCTGGCCTAATTGACTGTCTTTAATATCTAATTTAAGGTTTTAACCAAACGTTTCTGTCTTTTCTTTTTTAGATTACAGCCAAATGTTGATACGAGACAGAAGCAGCTGGCGGCCTGGTGCTCGCTCGTCCTGTCGTATTGCCGCCACCGGAAGCTTTACACAGTGGACGTGCTGGAGGCTCAAGAAAGCCCAGTGTTCAACAACAAGAAGATTGAGAGTATCCTTCAGAGCTACGGCAGTGATGTTGGAGGAACAAGAAAAAAAACTGTTTACAGCTCGTGTGCTATTATAATGGTGTCTGAAAGCTAATCAAAGCTTGAATATACTTACTGGTCACCCTAGTTCAGAGGTCTTTAATTAAAATTCAGTAAGGTCCAGTCAAAGAACATTTCCTCAAGTAAAGGTCCGGAACATCATAATGTCTAACTTACATCATGATTCAGTGCCACATAACTGTTTACTGAAGTAGCCTAGTAGGTATATCAGCATCTTATACAGTCAACAACTGAATGTCAAATCAATTAAAGTACAGTTCAGTAAAATTTCAACAATATTTACTGTCAGTTTTCTCTTTTTAGATCACAGCATGTTAAATAACTTCCCTCTGACTCACTTTCTTCTCCGACTGCTGTGTCGCCCCTCGTCCCTCCCCTGTGTGTGCGTCACTCATTCGAGTCTCAGTGCTCATCGCAATGCACAGATCTGATTGGCTGAGTAGCGTCACGTGATTTTTATAACGCATACGATTGGTCTGCGAGTCTCCGGCCGCTAAAGCTACCTTAAAGGCTAGAAAAGCTAAGCCGATTAAAACAGGACCACCCATCCAAATTAAATAATTCTCCATAGTTTATCGGTTATAGGTCCAGGTTCACATAGGACAGCGCCTGGGTCGGTCTGCCTATTGGTGACCTCTGCCCTACTAGTAGACTTAGTCGATTTTTCTTTCAAATTAGTACTTTTTGTGTTTTTAGTAACAAAATATATTATAAAATACATCTTTTAAAACGTGATTTGAAACCTACATGTTCTGATATTCAGTAATGAGGAATTTAACGATATTCAACATGTGCTTAAACATTGTGCTCAATAAATACATCATCAAGTATCTGTTTGAAATATCTATGAAATCTAGTCATCTGTCTGATGCTAACATATTATTTATTTTAGGGAAATATCCGCCCATACAGTACAATTCTGATATCATCATGCATCCATAATACATAAATGTACATCTTGTACATCTTAATACGATATCATGACAATATCATAATTACCTAACCTTTTATCACAGTTTATCATGGCTGCTCTGGTCTGAAGTTTGAGCACCGTCTGACAGGTAAATTGTACGCTGTGGCTCTTTTTTCTAGACAGACCAAATTGCTGTAAAACAGTTAAAACTACACTCTCTCCCAACTCCCTGGCCACTTTATCAGAAATCCCTCTCATGTAGCTTCGCCTTGCTGGTGTTCACTTAGAGACTGCAGCTCATCTGCTGATGCCCAGTTTATCTTACCCATTCTCTAGTCCTTCAGCAGTGGTCAGTTTTTTGGGTTTTTTTTGCGGACTTTTGCAAACAAACTGGCTGTGAAAACAAGCCTAAGTTTTCTTCTCTGACCTCTGTACTCTGGTCTGTAATACTGTGGTCAGTATTTCTAGTTAAAACCTTCTCTTTAAAAGCCTTTTCTCAAAATCCACAGGCCTGTCATCCCTGTTAAAACAGTGTACCCTTTCTGCTTGTTTGCCCTGACCTCCGTCACTCAGGAAAGCTCTCTGTTGAGGCCATACAGGTCATCTTTGAGGAACTGAGAAAAAAAGGTAATCAGATAGGATCATTGAATTAGTGCATTAGTTTTAAGCACAGTGGTCTGCTTGTGACGTACAGTAGCTATAACGATTGCTTTCTCTGTTGGGCTTGGTCACAGGGAACCTGGAATGGATGGACAAAAACAAAACACGCTGTTTAATCATGTGGCGAAGACCCGAGGAGTGGGGCAAGCTGATTTATCAGTGGGTGAGTCTTCCGTCTGTCTACACAAGGGCATGGTTTTGGTTTCAGAAGTAGAAGGACACTGAGAAGGTCACTAACTAAATGTTAACCTTAGCTAATGCCAGGATCAGACTACATGAATTCAGCCCGATTTTGACACAGCCGACAGATTTCCAGCGTCGGGCCCGAATATGATTACGGAAAACGACGAACAGGTCTTGTAGTGTCACATAATCAAAGATGGTGATGTGGCCTCTGGGATGCCCCATGACACCCCAACAAGAATCTAGCATGTCAGAGTTTCTGGTATTTTCCTGCCTAGACTGACGTCTCCTGCGACATGACATAAACCAGTGGGCTGACAAAGCACTGTCTGATTTGTCTGGTGCACATCACTGTAAACACAGTGAAGAGAAAGAGGGACGTTGCTGTTGCAGCCGTCAGGTGGAACTACGAAACAGAGGAAATGTTCGTAGAGCTGTGGCAGCAGAACCCCTGCCGTTCTGACATTTCCTTGAGGGAGAACCATGACAGAGTTCTAAAAGATAAATGTTGGAGAGGAATAGCCTTAATAGCGTCTGTTTACATGCAGCAAACCTTGTAGCTAGGACAGACAGCCCATATTGGCCTCTTCTGAGACCCAGGATCGGCTCCACAATCACCTTTTCTTTGTCTTTTTCTTTAGAACACAAAACCACCAGCATCACACACAGCGCTTCTGATTGACACTTTCTTTACCCGCCTCCCCGACGACCTATGAACTTGCATAAGAGCTTGAACGATGACTGTTCGGTGTTAAACTTGTGGTTTTGCTAGTCTCTCAACCAAGACACGGCACGAATTTATGACACTATGATCGCCTAATCTGACATAGTGATCATCGTGAAAGACAAAAATATTGTGTAGTCTGATCCTGGCATAATTTGCTCCAGTTCACAGTTAGTGTAGACTGTTGAGCATTCTTTAGATAATAGATAACACTTTCCATGCAAAGAAGTCTTTCTTCACCATTATGCCCACACTTGATGCTCTGGGTGCTGTGCAGTGCTCTGACAATATATAAGAACAGCAGTAAATAAGTGTTAATTACAGACAAATGTTAACTATTCAGCAGGGCTACATGATTCACTGTTATACAGAGTGATTCAAAAAGATTCATCCGATTTCAAAATTTCACTTGTAAATCGTTACAGATCAATGCAGTAAACTGTAAATGGTTTAAATGAGCATAAAGTTTATTATGTAATTGTACAAGGTCTCAGTATGAACCTCCTCCAGCTGTACAGACAACATCAACACCATAGTCAAGTTCATCCCATACTGGATTGAGCATGTCGGTGTCGCTGCACTCACGGCTCTTTCAGTGCGATTTCGGAGATCATCCAGTGTTGTGGAACCAACGCCGAACGCTCTGAGCTGTTGGAGCTTCACTGCCCACGAAAATCACGCTGCACAGTTACGGATTCACTCTTATTGAAGTGGAGAACGCAGAACGCTTTCTGCTCACGGGTCTCATCTCCTCTCAGACTGAAGGGAGCCATCTTCTACTGACAATCAGGAACTCTATGACCCTCTCTTTCAATTGGATTGTGATTGGTTCCTAGGGGCCTCACGGATGTAAAAAAAAATATATATATATATATATTTTTTTAATTACCTTGTATATTGAGTTTAAAGTGCTGTTGACTAGCTAGCTGTGCTGCACCCGAAAAGTTAACATTATAGTAACAAAGCATAAAATGCTTGTGCATTTCACGTGCAAAGTTCATACCTTCTTTTATTCTTGTCCTCATTCCTGTCACCAGCACTGTTCAGAACAATGTTACTTCCCTGTCTCCTTTGTTTTCTGGTTGTTCTTAAGTGTTGAATATTTCACCACATGGTGTCCCACAACTTATGGTGACAACAGTGAACCACAACACTTGAATTATACTAATTTGTGTTATTTTTATATGATGCATGATGCACAGCATGTAGTGGGCTAATGTTAGCCTAATGCAAATTTATAAGCCTGTTAATTTTGTAGTGTTTAAGTATTAAACACGTATTCTAAGCTATGTACGAGTTTATTTCTGTATAGATGTTAACTGATAAAGATGTGCAGTGACTTGACACGCTGATGTAAGCTGCAATTTATATGGTCTTTCCCTTTTGCTTTTTTCGTAGGTCTCAAAAAACGGCATGGTCAACTCAGTGTTTACACTTTATGAACTTTCTAATGGTGAAGACACAGAAAACGAAGGTACCTCTGATTTCCACGTCAGTTTCTTGAGTGCTCTGCTGTCAGAAATGTGTTGCTTAGTACACTAAATCACAAACGCTCAGATATGTACAACCCCAGTTCCAAAAAAGTTGGGACGCTGTGTAAAATGTAATTAAATGTAAATAAAAACCGAATGCAATGGTTTGCAAATCTCACTGACCCATATTTTATTCACAGTAGAACATAGAACACATATCAGATGTTGAAAGTGAGGCATTTTACCATTTCATGAAAAACATTAACTAATTTAGAACTTGATGGCAGCAACACATCTCAAAGTTGAGGCAGGGCAACAAAAGGCTGGAAAAGAAAATGGTAGTAATAAAAAAAACAGCTGGAGGAGCAATTTGCAACTAACTCACATGGCTGGGTATAAAAGAGCAGAGTCTCTCAGAAGCAAAGAGGACCAGAGGTTTACCAATCTGAGAAAAACTGCGTCTAAAAATTGTGGAACAATTTCAGAAAAGTGTTCCTCAACGTAAAATTGCTAAGTCTTTGGATGTCCCACCATCTACAGTAACAATATTATCAAAACAGTCAGAGAATCTGGAGAAATCCCTGTACGCAAGGGACAAGGCGGACGATCAATACTGGATGCTTGTGATATTCGGGCCCTCAGGTGGCACTGCATTAAAAACAGGCCTGATTCTGTACTGGAAATCACTGCATGGGCTCAGAAACACTTCCAGAAACCATTGTCTGTGACCACAGTTCGCTGTGCAATACACCGGTGCAAGTTAAAGCTGTATCATGCAAAGAAGAAGCCACATGTCAACACGATCCAGAAACGCTGCTGTCTTCTCTGGGCCAAAGCTTATTTAGAATAGACTGAGGCAAAATGGAAAACTGTTCTGTGGTCAGACCACGGACGCCATGTCCTGTGGACTCAAGAGGAGAGAGACCATCCAGCTTGTTTTCAGTGCGCAGTTCAAAAGCCTGCATCTCTGATGGTCTGGGGCTGCATTAGTGCCTATGGCGTGGGCAGTTTACACATCTGGAAAGGATCTATCAATGCTGAACAGTATATAGAGGTTTAAGAACGACATATACTCCATCCAGACAGCGTCTCTTTCAGGGAAGGCCTTGCATGTTTCAGCAAGACAATGCTAAACCACATACTGCATCCATCACAACAGCATGGCTTCACAGAAGATGAGTCCAGGTGTTGAACTGGCCGGCCTGCAGTCCAGACCTTTCACCAATAGGAAACATTTGGCGCATCATAAAATGAAAAATCCAGCAACGAAGACCCAAAGAAGACCCAGAACTGTTGAGCAGCTAGAATCCAACATCAGACAAGAATGGGACAACATTTCTCTCCTAAAACTCCAGTGATTGGTCTCCTCAATTCCCAGACGTTTACAGAATGTTGTTAAAGAAGAGGGGATGTTACACAGTGGTAGACACGACCCTGTCCCAACTTTTTAGAGATGCGTTGCTGCCATCAAATTCTAAATGAGTAAATGTTTTTCATGAAATGTTAAAATGTCTCACTTTCAACATCTGATATATGTTCTGTGTTCTATTGTGAATAAAATATGGGTCTATAAGGTTTGCAAATCATTGCATTTTGTTTTTATTTACATTTATTTACATTTTACACAGCGTCCCAACTTTTCTGGAATTGGGGTTGTATTTTTATTTCTTCTCTGTCAGTATTAGTACCTCATTTTATTAGACTTAAGTACCAAGTGTTGCCACTGTAACTATAATTGACTCCTTGGAACCACCGGTGGTTCCAAAACGCACTTCGTCATATTCTTTACTTCATAACTTTCATATTTCATAAGCTACATTCTAAAGGTGGGGGTCGTATGAGAGCTGTAACTGTCTTCTTTCCAGTCAAATAGATGGTGATGTAATTTTAAACCCTTATAATAAAAGAAACTGAACTAATTTTTTTTTTCTGCTGAAAGTCGACCCATTTTTTCACAAATCTGGGATATAAACTATAAACAGACGGCGTCTCTTCAGTGATCTGCTCTGTAAAAATTATTATTATAAAATAATACAAAGATCGTCTAAGATTTTTGGCTTTCAGCAGTAAATTGTAAGCATATAGCAATATGTGTATCATAAAACACATGTTCTGTTAATTTGGGAGCTTTTAAAAAAAAAATTATTTTATGTAGTTACTGAATAATTTGCCTTGTGATTTGGGCATGTAAACCTATGTAGAACCTTTTTAAAAATCGTTCTATATAGCACCAAAAGGGTTCCTTCCATTGTAACAAGCAGAACTCTTTTTGGTGCTATATAGAACCATTTTCAAACAGGTTGTATATAGAACCATTTGCAGCACATTCTCCATCAAACTGAAGAACGATTTCACGAGGCAAAGAATTCCTTAATCATGCAAAGGGTTCTTTGAGTGTTCATGGTTCTATACAGAACCATTTTCTTTACTTCTTTTGTGTGATTTCAGGTTTCTTTGCATCATGAAAGGGTTCTTCAGAATGTGCTGTAGATGATTCTATATAGAACCTTTTTGAAAAGGGCTCCCAAAAGGGTTCTTCTATTGTTACGATGTTAAGCTTGTAAGAATACATGAACCCTTTCGGGTGCTATATAGAACCATTTTCAAAAAGGTTCTACATAGAACACTCTACAGCACATTCTCCATCAATCTGAAAGCAAGAACGCTTTCGTGATGCAAAAAAACTCTTTAATCATGCAAAGGGTTCTTTGAGTGTTCACGGCTCTGTACAGAACCATTTTCTTTACTAAAGAACCCTTGAAGAACCATCTTTTTAAGAGTGTATAGTAGGTGTGTTTTGAGTGAGCAGGTTTTCTTTGTTTCTTTTCTAAGTGCTGTGGTAACTGATCATGTGTTATAGCAGAAAACGATATGACTGAAAATTGCGAGTGTTCCTTTAAATTTCAAGAGGCAGTTAAATTCTTTACACCTACTTCATTTCCCAGAGTTCCATGGGCTCGAGGACTGGATGCTGCAGCGCTCGCTGCAGGCCCTGCAGGCCGAAGGCAAGGCGGAGGTCATCACGCTGGACGACGGAAAAGGAGTCAAGTTCTTCTGAATTGCGCTTTTTCAGTTTCAGACTTTGGGAAGGCGGGTTATCGGGCTCCTTTAAGCCCAGCCTGATTATTTTTTTCCTTTATGGTCTCCTGCGTTCAGATGGGCTCCAGGCTGGTTTTAGAGCTGGTTTTCCTGACACAGATTAAGCCTAGTACTGGACTAAAAAGCATTTCCTACCAGTCTTAGGCTGTGGCTTGAAAATCGCAGCTCTAACCATAGCACTCCATCACTTAGAGGAATAGTTTGCTGAAAAATCTGAGGTACATGATTTTCCTTTTGCCACGAATGCAATCGATCAGCCAAATCTTGCTTCTTTATTTTAGAACTGGAGCTAAGAGGCTAACGTTGCTAACAAGCACTTGACGTCAATGGTCGCCCAAAACGTTTCTGTAAAAATACATCCCCAGAAATTCACAGACTCAAACCACATCTAGGTATAAATTCAGGTCGTACAAATAAGTCAGTGTGGTTTAGAACAGAGCATGACTCTGTATAAACTATACGAACATATAAGAAACCTCTCCGTATCGCTAAAAGAACAGCCAGCCATTTGGGAGAACCGGAATCGCTGCTTTTCTCAGCAAAGTTTGGAATAATTTCACACAAGACGGCCAAAAACACAGACGCTCAGTAAACAAGCTAAATTAAAACTGATTGTGCACAGAATATCAATAGCCTCAAATGCACACAAAAAAAGATGGTTCTTCAAGGGTTCTTTAGTAAAGACAGTGGTTCTATATAGAATCATGAACACTCGAAGAACCCTTTGCAAGATTACAGGGTTCTTTGTATATTGAAATGGTTCTTCAGATTGATGGAGAATGTGCTGTAGATTCTATATAGAACCTCTTTGAAAATGGTTCTGTGTAGCACCAAAAAGTGTTCTTCTATTGTAACGATGTCAGGCTTGTTACAATAGAAGAACCTTTTTGGTGCTATATAAAACCATCTACAGCACATTCTCCATCAATCTGAAGAACTCTTTCACAATGCAAAGAACCCTTTAATCATGGAAAGGGTTCTTTGAATGTTCATGGTTCTATATAGAACCATTGTCTTTACTAAAGAACCCTTGAAGAACCATCTTTTTAAGTGTGTATATATTGCAACCTGAATATACACATGAAGAAATGACTGTTGGACCCACCAGTGACTCTGCGGACCGTCTCTTAGCCACATATAGCAGGTTAGCCCAACAAAGTTTTGCTCAGTTGTTTACATAATTAAATTAAATTAAATTGACAATTTAAAGCAAGAAAATGATTGTCGCATGTTTTTGTGGGAGCAGTTTTGGTGACTATTTTTACTTCAGTGTTTGCTAGCACAGTTACCTTAGCAGCTCTGGTTCTAAACAGTCATGCAGTGGCTTATCAGCTGCATTTGTTTTAAGTGAAAAGTCATTTAAATTTTATTTTAAGCTGAACTATTCCTGTAAAAACATACTCCAGCGATTGACATGATTCCTTGTACTTGGGAAAGAACAGAAAATGTGGACATTTATAATAGAGGCCAATGGGCTGATGCTGAAACACCTGCCCAGCTGACCTGTTATAATTGTGCATTGAGTTAACAGATTTTCTGTTTTTTATGAAGTACGTCGTTCATGGTAATCAGTCTAAGGCTATAGATGCGTCCGGTACCGATTAGGTTGAATAATCTTGGAATATTTCTTTGATTATTCCATTTAAAGTCATTATTGTGTGTATAAGCCCAAAATACATGAACCCTTTCCTCGTTGGAACCGTTCTGAATCCGTGGTTTTACACCTGACTGACGTAAGATGACTCGAGTCTGTTCAGTGAATTTAGCAAAACATGACACAGAATTTCACAATTAAGACGTGCAAATGACTGAAAAGTGAATATCGCATATCAGAAAAAAATGTTCTGAGAAAATTCTCCTTTTTCAAATCCATGTAAAGTTGGATTTTGTTGGTTTTAGTGCTGTAAATCCCAGCGGACTCTACTTGAAAATCTCCTTGTGTGCTACCATGTAAACCCAAAAGACTTTATTTTGGGTGGAATCTTCTAATGCTTCCTGGCAAAGACACCTGAAGAGACGAACCAAGCGTTCTTGTGTAAGACGTGCCGGCGCTGGCGGTGATGTGGTTCATAGCAACAGTTTGCTGAGACTTCTTAGTAGCATTAAGGTGAACTTCTTGTCTCTGTCTGTCTCCCACCTCCTTTTATACCAGTGAATACTGTACAAATAAATGAGAGAGGTTTTCATTTCTCTCTGTTCCAGTCCTTGAAACGATCTGGGGTGATTTTATAGAGCAGAGAGAAAAAACATGACGCATTTGTTCAGGCTACCATGCTAAGATGATCAGTACCACCAAGCTAGCATGCTAAGACCATTATCAATGTAAATTCCCCAAAACCTGACTGAGGATCTATGAGCTGTCTTTTTTATCATAATTGATAGAAATACATGGATATGAGGTCTAATCTTAGATTAGATACATTCATATAAGGTCACATCCAGAACTGAAGAGTCTGACTGTGTAGATCTATAAGAAGAGCTCACAACCAGAACTGCACAATCCTACTATGAAGATCTAGAAGTACAGATCACATCCAGAGTTGAAGATCTAGAACAGCTCATGTCCAGAACTGAACAGTCCAACTCTGCAGATCTGTAAGAACAGCTCAAAACCAGAACAGTACAATCCCACTATAAAGATGTGTAAGAGCAGCTCACAACCAGAGTTGAACAGTCCAACTTTGAAGATCCAAAGGAACAGCTCACATTAACAGTTATACGATGCAACTCTGAAGATCTAGAATAACAGCTCGACATCCAGACAGAGCTATAAAATATTGCTATAAAGGTCTATAAGAACAGCTCACAACCCGAGCTGAACAGTCCAATTCGGAAGATCTAGAACAGCTCACATCTAGAGAGCTGAAAAATCCAACTGTAAAAATTTATGAGAACAGCTCACATCCAGAGCCAAACAGTCCAACTCTGAAGATCTAGAACACCTCGCTTCCAGAGCCATACAGTCCAGCTCTGAAGATCTAGAAGAACAGCCCACATCCAGAACTGTACAATCCAGCTCTGAAGATCTAGAAGAACAGCTTACATCCAGAACTGTACAATCCAACTCTGAAGATCTAGAGAATCTTAAATACAGAGCTATAAAACCATACTACAAAGATCTATAAGAACAGCTCACATCCAGAGCTATAAAATCATACTACAAAGATCTATAAGAACAGCTCACATCCAGAGCTGTACAATGCAACTCTGAGGATCTAGAATAACTGCTCACATCAAGAGCTATTTAATCCATTTCTAAAGATCTATAAGAACAGCTCACATCCAGAACTGTACAATTCTACTATGAAGATTTATCAGAATAGCTCACAACCAGAGCTGAGCAGTCCAATTTTGAAGATCTAGAACAGCTCACATCCAGAGCTATACACTCCTACTATAAAGATCTATAAAAACAGCTCACATCCAGAGAGGTGAACAATCCAACTGTAAAAATGTATAAGAACAGCTCACATCCAGAGCTGTACAGTCCAACTCTGAAGATCTAGAACAGCTCACATCCAGAGCTGTACAGTCCAACTCTGAAGATCTAGAACAGCTCACATCCAGAGCTATACACTCCTACTATAAAGATCTATAAGAACAGCTCACATCTAGAGAGCTGAACGATTAAACCATACAAAATGTCTAAGAACAGTTCACATCCAGAGCCATACGATCCATCTCTGAAGGTCTAGAAGAACATCTCACATTTCAGAGCTTTACAGTCTGACTCTGAAGATCTGTAAGAACAGTTCACATCCAGAAAACAACATTCTCAGCTCACAAACAAGCCTAGAATAAACAAGTATCGATGCATTTTTTTGGCGTATGCCTAGATGCTTCAGGATGTGAAACGCTTGACAAATTTGGACCCAGGTGTTGTTTGATGAAGGATAAAATACCTGAATGAATGCAGCAAGAATAACTTCCCAGGAGGTGAAAGAGGAGCTGTCAGCAGGCCGTGACTGATACGATCTTGGTTTGTTTTCACAGAGTGGATCTTTTGTATACAGCAGTCACGTTTTTAAGAGCTAAAGACTGCGCACTGACTTGTTGATATAAAGGGTATATCGGCGTGGCCTGTCTGTCATCAGAGTTGCTGCTGTTGCCACTGAGCTGTAGCTTTAAAAATAACATGCATTTGTTGGCGGGCATTGAAAGTCGAGCCTCAGGCAGCACCTGCATTTTTTATCCCTGCCTGTAAAAATGTTAATTTTTCTGATAAACTGTGGCCTTGTGGGGATGGCAGTGAGTGGCAAGTTGGCTCTTCTGTGCACATGGAGTGCTAAAATGTCATGAGGTGGCGCCCACTGCTGTCCGTGAAGGTGCACTACCACACAGGAAGACTGGTGACCGGTGTTGCTGTTCAGTTACACTGGCACTCTTCTGTTTAACCACCACATCATTTGTCGTTCAGCTGCTCACTCCCATTTGAGGTTACCCAAGTTTAACCGGAATATGCTGGAGACTTGGGTGTAATGAGGTGTATTTCCATATTTGGGCTCCTGGGATGTGTGGGAAAAGTAGCAGGAGAGAGAAAAATGCAACACACATCCTTATATAAGCTTATTTATATTAAACTTATTTCTGTTTTCATTGGAATCGTTTTCTCGTGGAGCACAGACATTGCGCTTGTGGCACTTCCCTCTTTAAATTTATTGTATCCTGAGTCCTACATGAGAAACGGCCTAAGTAGTTTTACCCAGGCTCTGCGGGGATGCAGCTAATCGCTCCAGTGTTTATGTTTTTGTAATCTGTATCTATTAATGTACTAATGATTTAGCGAAAAAATCTAATTTACCCAGTTTCCATTTTCTACCCAAATGTGGTCGATCAGCCAAGACATGTTTGGCATCTGAAGTTTGCTGATGCCCAGCGCAAAGAAGTGAAAAAAGTATTGATTTCTTCCATTTTTGCATATTTGTCCCACTTAATTTCTCAGATCTTCAAACAAAATGTGTCATAGCACAAAGGCAGCCGCAAAATACCTTTTATAAACTTTTTAAAAGTCCTTTTAAAAGCAGCTAAATCGTCCTTCACAACAACTGCAGCAATACTCTGGATAAATAACTTAACAGCACTTAGAAAACAGTATTTTTTCCTCTCCCAGCCCAGTTTAACTTGAGATATATCATACTTTGACTTTTAAAATATTCCAAAAATCATTTATTCTTGCCTTAATATGTGAATCCATTGAACATCTCGTGCTTAAAACGCCCTTTTTCATGAGTCGTCCATTACAGGTTACGAGAAATGTACATTTTAGTCCCTCAACCTTCACACAGCACTAATATCTGAACACATTCACCCCTCTGAAACATCTGGAATATTCCAGAAAGAGGAATTGGCATCATGGTTGTAATTAGAATTATCATAACAAACATGATCATAATTATGTTTCTCAGAAGGCCGTTGTTGATACAAGGTGGCCTGAACTGCTCTATAAATGTCTTAATGATGCAGGAGCAGCGCATTTATCTGATCTGCTGCAGCGATATGAGCCGAGCAGAACTCTCAGATCATTAGGAACTGGTCAGTAAGTCCTGCTGAAGGTGAAGACTAAGCATGGAGAAGCAGCGTTTGGCTACTGTGCTGCTCTTATATGGACCGAGTGGACAGAGAACATCAGAAGAGCCCAACACTGGACACTCTTAGTCAGCCTGAAAACGTTAAACTGCTTTCAGCTCAGT